AAAAATTTTAAATTATGCAAGTAGCTCACGAACTTTCAGATTTCCAGGACGGTAAAGAACGCATTTTAGTTTTAAAAAATTCGGGAATTCTCAAAAAACAAAGGTAACTTTTATTTAGAGAGTTTTTTAACTTTTTATTACAAAAGAAGGTGATCAGCTAGTTTCTATACAGATTGAAGAACAACAACAAATACTCAAAAAGAATTTAGAAAATAAAAAGAAAAAACCTATTTATACTGGTTACGATGACGATGAATTAATTTTGGTGGAGGAGAAATATCTAAAAAGTATATCTTATCACATTATGATGAGGAAACATCTAAACAGCACTTTTTGCCACCATTACAGCAGGTATGACCCTAAAGTGGGTAAAAATAAATATATATATATATATACAATGTTAGAAATTATGATAACGTTAGTCGTTAAATATCTTAATAGGAATTACCTTTTTACAGTGAGTACCATGACCATAATCGACTGAACCCTGAGCATTCAACAAATAGAAATGTTAATAATAAATTCACGTGGCAAGTAAGAACATTAAGTATATTACCGCAGGCAAACAAGTATCTCCTGAAGCACATCTTTCGCCCTGTACAGATAGATGAAATATAAAGCAAGATGAGTTACAGCTCGAGACCCCTAGTCGCAGCAACTTTCAATATCAGGTGCCAAATTTATTTTTTAAAAAAATCACGTGATTCTGGCCAGCATTAAGAATTTATTATAATTTTGGCCAACTTTAGAAAAATTAAGAATTTATTAAAATATCATGAAGTATGTTATTGGGAATTATGCGATGTGTTTTATACGTTTTCACAGCATATTCTGCTTGCTTTACATTTAATCCATTTCTATATGCATCCATATATCTATAAGATTTTCTAGCAAATGCTCTTATTTCCAATAAAGAAACTTGATTTAACGCAATAGGAATAACTTGCTGCAATCCATTTCATGTATAGTCATAATTATTTCTTGAATAACGTTTTGCAGCTCCCCAATACATTTCAATGTAATTAAGTTCACAATGAAATTTTGGATAAAAAATCACTTTGTGACCTTTGTGTTCAATAATTTCTTGAATCATACATTTTTGAGCAAGAAAATCAGATTGATTTTCTAATATATGTTGCATATAGCATTGATTATCCAATGAATTCTTATTTTTACAAAAGTCTTTTATACCTGGTCTTAATAGTTTACGTTCATGTAAAATTTGTTTCATTCCTTTTGGTTTTCCACGAAGAGATTCTTCAGGAAAATCATCAGGAAAATTCATAAATTGGACTTGATCATTAAAACAGTATTCCTTATTTTTGGTTGTTTTCCACCTGGTCCCACATTCATACAGTTTACAATAAGAGCATTAGAGCTAAATGCACTATGAGAAGTAGAATTATCAAACGCGAAAATTGCAATAGCTCCGGGATGAGTTGTTTCAAATATTGGAATTGCACGATCAACAACCTATGAAACCAATAAATTAAGTTAATAAAAAAATAATTAAAATAAAGTAAAATGAAACAAATTACCTGTTGAACTAATAATTCGATGTTCCACCAACCATCATTATTTATTCCTGGATTCATAATTACTCTAGCTTCGTGTAGAATATTGTTTGCACTATCTAAAAGTTTTTATTCTTCATTTAATTGTAATCGTCCAACTGTTTCACATAAAAAGTCACTAATATGAATAGCTCTTCCTCTTCCTTTTTTACGAAGAGGTTGTTTTTCATGTGGTGCTCATCCAGATCGCCTTCCATCATTAGAATGAAAAGTGGTTTCGTCATGAGTTACCAGAATATGCAAATGTTCATTCTCTTGCAAATCAGGATTAATTTGAATTTCCAAATCGTTATTATCAAATTTCGGCATTAATTTTTCATAACTGGATTAATAAAAATCAATTCAATTAAAAAAGAATTTATTTTGAAACAAAAAAACCACTAAAAAGTTTTTATCTTGCCATTTGTTCCAGAAACTTTAACCTATATTCAATTACATTGGGTCTTTCATGGCCATCAACATAAACACCTTTAGTAAATCGTTTAAACTCAAACTCCATTTTCTTAAGCCATTTTCTTACAGTTTTTGTGCTAAATTCAAGAATTTAATTAAATTTTCACTTGGTAAAATAAATTATTTAATTCAAACCTTTTTGTTGTTTCCTGTTCAATTCCAAGTGACGGAAAAACAATATTCTTTACATAATCAATGAAATTAGCTACATAAAATTCAAATTTGTTTTCACGTAAATATGTTACTATCTGAATTTGAACATCTTCATCATTAAGTAAACTTTGAATTTTGCAATATTTTTCCCGTTTAGAAATTGGAATGGTCTCACCATTCCTTACTAATTTTTCTCATACTCTAAGACAACGTGCAAAATATGGTCCTTTATTTAATTGCCGTGCAATACAGAGGCTTGCTTTAATTTTTGGTTCTTTATGGTTAACAAGCCTTAGATACTGCAACAAAGCAGTTAATCTTAGCTTATAACCACCATCAAGATTGCTTTGCTTTAATTCCTTTTCAACGGATTTAATTAATTGTCCATATTCGCAATGATCTTCATGTTCAGATTCCTGATTATCGGATTGGTTTGATTCCTGATCAGATTTATCAGGATCATTAGGTGCATGAGGTTAGAGTTGAGATGGGTTGTTAAAGAAATTCATTATTGGTTGACCATTTTTAGCCAAAAGTTTTTTAGCTTGTGCTCTTTTTCTTTTTTTTTGTTCAAATGGAATTTTCAATATAAACAGCTTTTCAGAAAGGAGACACGTAGTTTTTCATTCCATTTAATAAAACTTTAACAAAAGTTTCAGCCTTTTCATCCAAATCATCGTCTCCCCATATGACTTCTTTCTCATTTTCCCACTCCAAAATATCTGAATTTTCTAAAGGCACAGTAAAGTTTTGATTTTTTTTTCGTTTATCTTTCGCTAAACTTTTTATTTGTTTTTCGCGTTTTGAAAGTGGTGGCATAACAAAATTCCAAAAAAAAATTAAGTTCGGAAAAATGATTTTCCAGCTCATTTAAGCAATAGATGCGAAAATATTATTGGTGCCAAATTTTGAAAATCTACTATATACAATTAAGGAAATTTTTCATCCGGAGATTTGACAATAGCTTTTTAAGGGGTGATCGTATTTAAAAAATCTCATCGTAATTCGAAAGCTAGAGATAAAACACATTAAAGTACGATGGTACTTTAGAAATAACTTTATTTTTCAGAGAGTAGATACATTTTAAAAAGTGGATACCAAATTTTCCGTGACTAGGGGTCTCGAGCTGTACACTTATTGTTTTAAAATAGGATGTGAAAGTAAAGCACATTACATTATCACAGTAGCCGCCATTTGGACATTTTTCCGCATTCTAATGTGCATCAAATAGAACATGTTATAGAAAAGATAATTGAATCAATATGTAAGAAAGAAGAAATGACGTCCATTACCAAAGGTATACAACCACCACCCGAAGTATATTTGTCCCCCTGTTACAATGCATATTGTTAGTAATAATTTGGTATTTTAATGATACCCTATTATAAGTAAGAGGTTTCCTTATCACAGTGGTAGCTATTTCCACAGTCGTCTGCACCCTTGAATGTTCAACAAATTAAAGTAATTTTTTTAAAGTTAATATTTCACATTGGATGTAAGAACGTAGGGTTAATTACCGGATTTTTATCGTTCTAACATACACAAAACACGTCAGTAATTTAATATCTCAACAGTTTCGTGGTTAAATAAAGAAATATTACCAAGCCGCAGCAATGATCTCCATCATCACAGCATTTTTTATCCGATCCCTGCGTGAGTAAAAATATAGCATTAATAATTTTTAACAGTCAACGATACCATAAAACAAGATATAAAATAAAAAAATCACAACTGCGCAAGCAGCACATCCGACGCCCTTAGTCCAAAATGTGCAAATAGAACATTTTATTAGTAAATAATAATAAAGATCACGTCGTATAGTTAGAAAATGATGTCAATTACGTTTATTGGACTGGGCTACAAATGGAAATTGCATAGTATAATTAGTAATGTGATTATAACGTATGAGATGAATTCAACAAGGTATGATATTTCGGATTTAACCAATTGAATACACTGTATCAATACCACTAGAATTCAGAACCGTCGGATAAACGGATCCATCGGATAAATCCGATTTCCGATTCGAGTATAGATCGGATAAATCTGACTTCGATTCGATTATTGGTCGGATATATATCGTCGGCTAAATTTTAAAATGTTTTTTTTAATTTATTAAAATTATATAAGATTTAATATATAAATTATTAACGAGATTATTAATATAATTAAATATTATTTGTTGGCTACATTATTATCATATACATTACGCTTGAGAAATAAGATTTTTTCAAAGTATTAGAACTCAATTGAGTTCTTTTATTAGTTATAATAAATCACTGGGTGTGGAAGTGGCAGGAATGCCCAAATATTTTCTGGCCAAATTTGCTAATTTAGGTAAACGATTTTTATTAATGCACCACCATTTAAAAGGATCTTCTTCAATTTCAATTTCATCCATTTTTAAATAATTTTCTATTTCGTCTTGCATAACTGATTTGCATTGTGCTTGTAATCCGCGACGCATCATATCTTTATATTTTTGAATAGGATTATTAGTATGGAAATTGAGCCGTGTGGTGGTTGAATTTATTGAAGTAGTAGATTCAGATTCATGAGTTTGCAGTAATTCATTATAAAGAATCCGCAATTTGTTTTCAGCATTAATTCTTTGATCATGATTAGCAAATGTGAGCTTCTTGCATCGTGGATCTAACAATGCTGATAAAATAATTTCATCAACAGGAATATTATAATATCGTTCCATTGCAATATATAAAGCATTCTTGACTTTATCTACGAGACCATCTGTATCTTGAGGAAAATTAATATTGATTTTCTTTTTTCTTTGTGTATGACTATTATTCAAATCATTAGTCATTTCTTCAAGTAGCTCTTCATCACCTTCTGGAATAATATCATCAAATGCAGTTCCAGACTCATCTAAATCAATATTAAGCTCAGTGATGTTTGTTGGCTTTAAATTTTTCATGATAATCTGTATGGTTAGATACATAAATCCAGAAGTAGAATATTTACTTTCACCTAACCATTCAGTTGCTACTGCAAACTGCCCAAGTATTTCCATCAATTCTTCTATAGCTTTAAATTCATCATCTTTTAACATAATTTTATTAAGTCGTGCCAGATCTTTTTTGAGTTTTGCATCAGGATTTCGTAGCAGCTAATGTTGATTGTACTATTGAAATAAAAGGTCTGATTTGTAATAATCTTTGCCATGCAAGAAATGAAGAATTCCACCTTGTTTCCACATCTGCAATTTTATGAAGATATTTTGCAGTATCTTTAATAATACGATTATCATCTTCATATAATGCATGTTGAGCTGTTTCAAGTCGTTCAGATTGCTTTGAACTCATGAAAAAATTAATCAATTGTTTGGCACGAGCAATTAAAACTTGTGCTGGTAAGAGTCCTTTTCCTATTACTAATTAAAGCGTATGTGCAGTACAGGAGAGCCTGTGAATTGAATTAAGCAATTTATAAGCCTTTATCATGTTGGAAGCATTATCTGTTATAATTAAAAAAACAGATTCTTTAATATTCCATTCTTCAATAATCTGATTTAAAATATCTTTAATGCTCTCTCCAGTATGTGGATATTTAACATGACAAATAGTTAACATAGCTTCTTTAAATTCAAAATCATTGGTAATCCAATGACATGTAATACCTAAGAATCCATGTCAGTTTCTTACAGTCCATAAATCCAATGTAAGTGAACACCACGTCATATTTTCGACCAATAATAACTTGAGATTTTCAATAGCAAGATTATATGAATCAGTAATCAAAGCTTTTAGACGCTTATCACATGGAATTACAAAAGAAGAATTTAATAATTCAATTAATCTTTGGAATTTTTTGCTTTTCAATATATGAAAAGGCTGAGTATCTTCAACAATAAATTCCATTAATTCTTGCTCAATTGCTTCTTGTGTATTTATATCCAGAGGTGATACTTGTCACTCATTTTCTATGAAAATTCCATTATAAAATTGTGTAGATTTAGTTATATTGTGTGCAGCTGTAAGATGCGTACCAGCATTTGAAGTTGATGTTCCTTTTCCCCGACAAATATGATTGCAATCGATCCCATCAACATTGACTTTACAAGTAAAAGTTGTGTAGTTTCCATCTTTTGAATGCTTCCCCCACTGCCATATCCAACTGCTAAGATTTCCTGGATTATTAAACCTTGAAACTGTTAAAACAGTTTCTTTAGGATTTCTATCAGAGGTAGAAGTTTCGTTTTCGTCTCTAGTTATTTTTTTCTCTCTCTCTATCATCTTCAAATATCTCATTTATATTATCTTGATAATTTTTCTCAGTTGACGCACTTTCATTAGTTTCATGATTTCTCTTTTTTTATTTTTTTTTTGAAAATGACAGAAGAATTGAAAGAAATCAATGAAAATAAAAGTTAAATTAAACTATTTGATTATTTATAGTTTATCCGTCCGAATATCAGCGAATATCGATGCGATTTCGAGTATCGATCCGAGTCTAAAATTATATATCCGATAATCGTTATATCCGTCGGATAATCGATTGAATTATCCGACGATTCTGAACTCTAACTGTATGATGTGTTGAATGATTTGTTAAAAGGTAACTTTTTTTTTTTCGACACAAAAATTTTGAATGAGAAAATTAAATTTTCGATTACATAAATTTATACAAACTGACTATCACAAAAAACTAGTTTACAAAAAAATTCGAAAAAAGCAATCTCTTTGGAGATTATCT